GCCGCAGAACCTTCCTGGGGGCGTGGCTGGCGCACGTGGCAGAGCTGGCCCCGGCTGGGCTGCCCTCTGGGGTTCCGGACACCCCTGCCCCCGCTGCAGGGCCCGGCGTCTGCGAGGGGCTGGGCAGGAGACCCCCTGGGCTGCTTTTCCGGCTGAGTCGGCCGCGGAGGCCAGGGAGGGTCTGGTGGGAGGAATGTTCCAGAGAAGGGAGGCCCAGGCGCTCATCGCAAACCCAGTGCCGTGGCTGCGGGGCCTTTGCCTGGGACCCTCGGGTGGGGGACTCGATGTCCTGGCCACTCCCCCGCCCCCAGCCCCTCACCCCGAGGGCCCGGCAGGGGCAGGAGGCTGCGGTGTGCAAGATGGAATGGGAGTGAGGCAAGTGACCAGGCAGGAGCCAAGGTGGGAGGTGGCTCTGAGGACCTGGGCCAGAGGTCCCCACCGCAGGCCCTGTGTGCTGAGCCCGCACCCAAGGGCTGGGCCCAAGGTCGCCCCAGCCCAGAAGCTGCTCCCTGCAGCGGGGAGGCCGCAGGCCGGCAACAGCGAGCAGAGGAACGAGGCCACACGCTGTCCAGGCTGAATCACTGCGTTTTACTGAGTGCACAGGTCCCCTGGGCGCCTGGACCCGTCCCCGTGGCAGTAGAACTTTCCAGAACTTTGCACATGCGTCCCTGCCACCAGATGCTGCACCCCAGGTCCCCGGGGGCCCGCACTGGGTCCGCTCTGGCCGCAGGTGCGCCAGCCCGCCAGGGAGCGGAGGGAGCAGGCAGCCGGCTGGTCCTGGGAAACAGGCCGCTCGCTGGGCGTCCGTCCTCGGAGGAAGGCGGCGGCGGCGCGTCTGTGGAGAGGAGGCCTGGCCGCCAGGGCCCAGGGCGCGCCGCACGCAAGGCATTCGGAAGTATTCTTTGGAGCATGAACAGAAGTGCAAACACAGCCAAGGCAACAGCGCGGGTGGGGGGCTGCGGCCGCCCTCAGGCCGGCGGGCGACCGCGGGCGGCGGGCGGTGGGCGGCGGAGGATCCAGGCGGGCGTGCGGGGAGCCCGCCGGCGTGAGGCGGTGAGGCCCGCCCGCTCTGCGCCCGCGGCGGGGCGGGCGCTGCGGACCGCCGGCGGAGGGGGAGGCGTCCGGTCGGTGCCTGGCGGAGGCCTCAGTCCATTCCCGTCGACGTGCATTAAGGCCACAGCTTTGTGAAACCAGGTCAGAGTTGGGTGCGCAGCGCGGCGGCGGGGGCACCACACCTGCCTGGACGTCCCGGGACCAGGGCCGCCCCGAAAGGGTCCCCTCTTCTCCCGAAGTCCGCGTCAGCCGGGGCCGCCCTCACAAGTGTCTGACACAAGAGACCCCCCAGCTCCTCCCTGACCCCACAGGTGTCTGTCAAAGGTCGCGAGAGGGGTCTCGTCCGCCAAGGAGCGACTCTTTCTCACTCCCTACCCTGTTTCCTAAAGCTCTGCTCCCCGCCGCCCGCAGGGCAGCCTCCTGGGTCAGCCCCCGCCCTCCCAGGACCCCCTGTGCCCGAGGACTCACACGGTGTCCTGGCTCCGGGCAAACAGCTTCCCCAGGTCCCTCGGGAGCGAAGAGGCGCGGCCCCCACCATACCGCACTGCTTCCTCCGGAAAGCCTTCCTTGGTTGGTCCTCCCTCGTGCGTGGCGGGGCCCACGTGGAGCCTGCCCTTGGGGCACTAGGAGCAGGCGGCCCGGGGGCGGGGGCGGGGGCGGGGGCGGGGCCCGGGGGAGGAGCAGTCACAGAAGGCGGGGCGGGGCCACCCCCGCTGAGGGCGGCAGAGGGCCATCTGTACATTATTTACAATTCGGGTGAATATAAAATTGAGACAAACACCAGCGTTTCTACAGAGGCTCCGGCGCCCATCCCGCCCCCCACCCCCGCCCCAGGGCTTCGAGAAGCGTCTGGAAACACCTCAGCACCGAGTTCTTTCCACAAAGACGGGCGTCTGATGTCCGGGTGTCCCGGGAACAGGGCGGCAACAGAGCGAGGGGGCCCCGACTCCCGTTTCAACATCTCGAACCCACGCCCGGGGGCGGGGGCGGCCCAGCGGGGAGGAGGCGGGTCACTAAGGGTCGCTGAAGGGGCGCGATGCCGCGGGGCTGGCCACAGCTCTGGACTTGGACGTGGGGTTCCGGGGCGGGGGCCCTGTGCGGCCGGGGCGGCGGTGTTGCCACGCAGGCGGCTGCGTCCACTGGCGGGGCCGGGCTGGGGGGGCAGCCGAGGGGAGCCCTCTGCCCGTCCAAGGCGGCCCCCTTCGGGACCGCGGCGCATGACTCGACGTGGGCAGAGGAGGGAGATGTCGGGCCAGTAAAGGCGGAGGGGCAGCCCCACCCTGGGAGGTGCCCCAGCCAGGCCGCGCGGCCCAGGGGGCAGCGCCCAGCGTTGCATCTGGACACCCGCACAGGTGCCAGGGCCTCCCGGGCCCCGCCCAGGCCGCCGCGGGGCATCGGCCACCCAAACGCGACTACCGGCCCGGCTGGGGGGGGGCAGCCGCGGCCCTGGGCGGGCGCCATGGGACCGCCCGCCGCTCCTGCCCAGGGTCCGGGAGGCCAGAGCCCCACGACGGCCCCCGCCTGCCAGGACAGGGCTGCCCCGTGAGACCCTCGTTCCCGGCGCCTCGGAGCCGAGAGGGAGGGAGGCCAGAGGGCAGCCACGTCGGAATGTGGTGTGCGCGCACATGCACATGTGGGTGAGCGTGTGTGTACGTGTGAAGGGTATGTGCTTGCGCATGGGCGTGTGGGGGCGTGCGCGCACGCCTGTGCGTGTTGCTGTATGTGTGTGTGTGGCGTGTGCGCCTGAGGGGGTGCCCGTGTGCGCGTGGCGTGGTGCATGCGCTCGCCTTGGGAACGCGTGCCCCAGCCGCCTGTCCTCCCAGGCAGGCCCGCGAAAGCGACTGCGCCCAGAGGCACATCCAGCCTCTGCCCCGGGGCACCTGGCCCGGGCTCCTGGCACCGGCGTCTGGCGGAGCTGCTTGGGGACCAGAGACACCCAGGACAGGGGACAGGACGGAGCCTCTCTTTGGGGCAAAGGGCTCCTCCCGGGGCCTGCAGTCCACGCCGGCCGAGATCCGACAGGGGACACGGTGCCGCTGCTGGCACCGGGCTGGGTCCGACAGGGACGTGCTTGGCTCAGGGGCCCGCCTGCTGGACCCTGCCGGGGACCGACAGCTGGCCTCCGTCCCCCCGCCCTGGCCTCACCCGGAGGCAGGCAGAGAGGGGAGCGGCCACTGGCCTGGGGCCCAGCAAGCGCCAGAGGCGTCTACTCTGGGAGGGACTTCTCAGTGTCACTGCGGGGTCTGAGGCTGGAAAAACACTGCCCTTGAGATCGAGAAGGCGCTCGGAGCAGACGCGTCAGGGTGTGGGGCCGGCGGGGTGCTTCATCTGCGGGCCGCATGGCAGCGTCCGCGCCAGACCCCCCCCCCACGGGGAGCGGCTGCCCTGAGCGGGGGCGGCGATGGGACCCCCCACTGGTACGGCCCTCGGGCCAGTTCGCTGCCTTGCAGCTGCCCGGGCAGGGGTGGGGGCAGGGGCAGGGGCCGGGACCGCAGCCGCGCAGTGACCCTCCGCCTACCCCCGCGGACAGCAGAGGCCGCTCCCAAGGACCCCGAGCAGCAGCCCCCCGGCACCCGGGACTCCAGGACCCTCAGGTGCTGCTTTCAAAGTCCCTCCCAGAGGGCACGGCGGCTTCTCTCGCTGACCGCTCGGCCCGGCCAGTCCGGGCTCCCGTAAGTGGCGAGGAGAGGCGGCCCCGCGTTTGGGGCCGTAGCTGCACAGTGGCCCCGTGCACACGGGGCCGCTGCCTCGGCGCGCGCCAGGCGCCAGGCTTGCCTGCGGGGGGCCACTCCGCCTCGGGGCTCCCCCTCAGAGCTGCTGCTCCTCGGGCCGCGTGCCTGCAACGGGACGGTGGGGGTCGATCGGTGTCCCTGCCTCCAGGGCACCGAGAGGCCACGGCCACGGGGCCAGTCAGCAGAGGAGAGCACGTGGGGAATGGTTGGCTCCAGAGGGGACGGGAGAGACACCTATATCGGGGCCCTCTAACGCCGGGCCGCGGACTGGCACGCGGCAGGAGGTGAGTGGCTGGGTGAAGCTTCGCTGGAACTGCTGCCTGAGCGCCGCCTCCTGTCCCCACCCGCCCGCCACCCGCCATCCTTGGGAAAAGTGTCTTCCCCCGAACTGGCCGCGGGTGCCACAAAGTTTGGCAACCGCTGGCCCGTGGGACGGAGCTGCCTTCTCTAACTGTGTTTGGGGGCTTTGGAGGCTTTTCCCAGTGGTCTCAGCCTCACCCTGACCTGGGTCTTGTCGGGGCACTGACAGGGAACGGGCGAAGCAGGACCCCAGCAAAGGACAGCGGGGAGGTCTGCCGGCCACTCCGCCCAGTCCCAGGACTCCGGGACACAAGCCCAGCCCAGGGCAGGGCCCCCGCCCGCTGCCCGGCTCCGCTGCCCACACTCAGGTCCCTGTCGAAATGCCGGCCCAGCCCGGGGGCCGGCAGAGCGGAGAGGACAAGGGGTGCCCGCCCCCGAGACCTCCTGTCTTCCTGAGGCCCACGGAGTAGGCTCCGCACTGAGCCGAGGCTGGGGGTCCGAGGGTGGGCGCGCTCCCCTGCGGTCCTGAGGCCCGGCCCCCTCTCCGGGCCAGGACCCTGGGCCCAGAGGGAGGGCAGGTGACGCTGGCGGCTGCCCCGTGGACGGGCACCACGGGCAGGAGGGCTTGTCCCAGTCGTGCACATGGGCAGGTCCTCACGGAGGCCGGCCTGCCTGCCGCGCGCCCACCCTGCCGCCGGCCCCCTGCCCGCTCACTCCTGGGCCTACACCCGCACGCAGCACAGCCACCTGGCTGCCCCGTTGGGAAAGGACTTCCGTCAACCTGCGCCACGGAGACCGCGGAGCTGCCTGCCCGCCGCGGCAGCCCGCAGGGGCACTGCTACGGGACTCCGAGAGAAGGCCCCAGGGGTCCCGCCTGGAAACCGCAGGGCCCAGAGTCTAGAAGAGGGCGGGGCCTCACTTCCGGGGCCCGGCCCAGCCCACGTCGCCGAAGGGGCCCTCGCCGGTGGCAGAGCGTGGCGGCGGCCCGCACGGGGTGCAGAGGTCCGAGTCGGTGTCCGACTCGCCCTCCGCGATGTAGGGCCGCACCTTGGCGCAGGGCGCGGCCGCCGCGTAGCCGCCGTTGAGCGCGTCCAGGTTCTCTTTGGACTGGGAGATGCTGAAGCCGCTGAAGGAGCGCTCCAGCTCCTCGTGGTCCACCGAGGGGATGGAGATGGACGTGTCGCTGCCCCGCAGCGCGGCCTCGTGGGGCCTGCCGGCCGGCGTGTCCTCGTGCCGCAGGAACTCCGCGCTGGCCCGGGGGCCCCCGCCGCAGGCCGACAGCGAGCGCTCGTGGGCGGGCGGCGGCGGGATGCGCACCAGCGCTCCATGGTCCCCCACGGGCGAGGTGCCGTGGCCGTGGCGGGCGTGGCCCTGCTGCTGCCAGGAGGTGGAGGGCGGGCACTGGGTGGGGGGTGCGGCCGGGGGCGCGGCGAAATTCCTGTGGCCCACGGAGCTGGTGGAGCGGATGAGCTTGACGATGCAGCCGCTGCGGTCCCCGTGGTCCCGGCTGTCCTCGGGGCTGTGGTACGGCGGCGCCGGCTCGGGCTCCTTGGCGCCGAAGTATGCCTCGGTCTCCGACGGCGGGATCCCCATGCGCTGGGTGTAGATGCTGACCAGGAAGTCCAGCTTCTTCTCCATCGACAGGACCTGCGGGAGCGGCTGCTGGGCGGGCTGCTCCCTGTGGGGCCCCCTCCCCCGCCCACCGTGGGCGCCCCTCAGAGCCAGCGCCAGGAACCGGGCTGAGCAGCGTCCTTGTGTGTGGATCCCGAGGACTCGCTCCCAGGACAGGGCGGCGAGGACAAGGCCCCAGGCGTGACAGAGGGCCCCTCGCCCAGCCCACGGTGTCTCTCAGTGGCGCCCCCAGGCAAGGGAGGGGGCAAAAACGGTGCTCCTGCCCCGAGGGCCTGCGGCCACGGAAGGGAAGGCGCCCGGACAGTGGCGGGCGTGGGGGCGGGAGGCGTCCGGATGCGGCGCCCTGAGCGGTGCCGGCCCCGCCTCCCTGGGCGCTCGAGGGCCCCGCCCACGGCGCCCATCCCAGACCCGCGGGGCTGAGCGCACCGGGCGGCCCGGCCGGCCTCTCGCACCTGCTTCTCCACCTTGCCCAGCCGGCCCATCATGCTGGGGTCCTCGGGCAGCTCCGCCTCCGCAGGGCCCTTGGTGCGGTCCTTGTCCGTCATGGCCGGGCCCCGCCCCACGATCTGGTCCACTCTGCGGGGGAGAGGCCCCGCCCCCAGCGTGAGTTCGGGCGGGTGGGCGCCCTGCGGCCCCTCCTCCGACCCGGCTCCAGGCCGTGCCTGGGGCCAGCGTGGGGACAGCAGGTGTCGGGGCAGGTGGACTCCAGGCACCTGTTCTCACCTGGCTCTGGACCCGCAGGGCCTGCCCTCTGCCCACCCCGCCCCCGTGGGCCGGCACATCAGCGCGGAGGCCCATGGAGGCCTCAGCCCCTTGCCCCCGGCTCTGCCCGCCCCCAGCTCCCCTCCTTCACAACGTGCCAGGGGCCCTCTGCCCAGCCGGTCCGGTGGGGACAGAGCGGACGGTCTGCGGGGGGAACGACAGAAGCAGGGGCCAGGACAACGAACAGGCGGGGCTCCATGCACGGGGTGGGCACGGGGACAGGGACGTCACGGACATGGCCCACGCACAGCCAGAGAGGACAGACAGAGCCGCCGCCAACCAAAAAGGTGTCTGTGTGTGCTCGCGTGGGTGCCTGTGCGTAGTGTGTGCAGCCTGTGTGCACGTGTCATGTGATATCATGTGCACACATTTGTGCGCACCACACGTGCACACGTGCATGTATATACATGTGTGCATGTTCTGCATCATGTGCATGTGTGCACGCACTGTGTGCATTGTGCACATGTGGGTGCACTGTGTGTGCACATGTGTGCCAGATGCAGGATGCAGCTGAGCTGATCTCGAACGAGGCCGCAGGCTGTGAACGCCAGCGAGAGGGTGGGCGGCCTCCGTCGGGGACGGGCTTCTGCGTGACCAGCACGCTGAGCAGGACGGCGCAGGCGAGGCCGCGGGAGTGCGGTATGTGGACGCCCACTCGGGGTCCGGGGCCCAGACGTCTGCCGGCTGTGTCGCCCCCTTGGCGGACCCGCCGGTGCGGCCAGCAGGCAGAGCCCCGGGCTGAGGCCCCGCGGCCCCACCCTGTCTCGCCGGAAGCCCCCAGCACGAAGCCCCCTCTCAAGCTCGGGTGCGGGGACGCGTGAGCAGCCAGGGCCGCACCTCCTGGCCCGGGGCCGCCCTGCCCGTCTCTGATTGGGGAACTCGGGGCGATTCGCCTTCTGTTGCAGGAAGCAGAAGGGGGGCTCAGGCTGCGTCAGGTACGGTGCAGCTTCCTCATGCTCCGCCGGGCGTCATGCTGGACTCATGCACCGAAGGGCCGGCGGGGCGGGGTGGGGGGCACGGCGGGGGACCCTCGGGCTCCAAGCAGGCGCTGGTGGGGCATGGACAGGGAGGAGGGGCTCTAGGTATTTCCGTGCGTCCATACGGTCCAGGCACAGCTGCTCAGCGCCTTCGCCCCTGCCACATGACGGGCCGCCCGCCTGGCTAGTCCTCGCGCGCCGTGGCCAAAGGCGCAGCCGGCTGCCGCTCCTGCTGGAGGCGGGAGGGTCCTCCAGGGAGCCTGTGCCCCTGCCCTGGGCCTCGGGCCTCGCCCCCACGTGCCCAGACTGTCCCCCCGGGCCCTTCTCTGCTGACCATGGGTCCTCTGGCTGAGGCGGCCAGGGGCCTGTGCGGCTCCCAGGCGGTGTGGCCCTCGCAGCTCCTGGCTCTCCGCGCCCAGCTCTGTCCCCTGCCTCCACGTCCAGAAGGACGGCCCACGGCTGAGGGACAAGGTCGAGCAGGGGACCCAGAAAATCCCATCGGGGGCGGCCCTGGGTCAGGCCTGCCCCCGGGAGCGCTAGGTTGAGAGGCCTGGAGCGCTGACCCTTGGTCTCCGGACGCCCCTGCTCCCCCTGCCCCCCGGCTGCCGGCACAGCCGGGTGTGTCTGCCCTCGGCCTCACACCTCTGCTCCGGGGACCCTGCCCTCCCTGGGCCGACCTGACCTCTGACCTGCCCGACGTCTGAACGTGCTGTCGCTGGGGAGCCCGCGTGTGCCAAATTGCCCCCTGAGCGAGCCCTCGCCTCGCATTCCGCCCGGCGGCCGGGCGTGCGCATCGGTCATGCGACCGTGAGGGTGGATGGTGAAGAGGGGGCACCGGACCCCATCACCCACAGGGTTCAGGAAGGCGACAGAAGCGGCAGGACCTGCTCGGACCCTCGCAGGGCCCAGGTCGGCCTGCGGAGGGTGGGAGCTGGGGGTCTGAGTCAGCCCCAGGGCTGGGCAGCGAGGACACGGTGGCCCTGGAGCCCCGAAGGTCCTCCCTGCAGGCTGGGCGCCCCCAGTCCTCGTGGTGCTGCCCTCTGCCTCGGCCCAGGGAGCCCCCCCGCCGGCAGACAGCACACAGGGCGTCCTCGGAAAGCAGCCGGGGCCCTGCCGGGGCCGCCTCCTCCCTGGCTGGGTGGTCCCGTCGGAAGCGCAGCGCGGGCCGGCCGTCATGTGGCCTGAAGCGAGGGGGGCCGGCCATTCCGCAGGCACAGGCGGGGGCGGCTGGCATCCTGACCTAGGTGAGTACTGGGGCGACTCTCTCGGAGGGGCCGTGGGTCCTTTGGTGGGGTACTTCTTGTGCCGGGGAGTTGAAGGGGGTGGGGGGCCCACAATCATATCTATCCTGGCAAGTGAACAAGAAGAGAGACACCAGCGAACGCGCGTGAAGCACCACGAGGCGGCAGCTGGGCCCTTGCACACACAGACGGAACGGCCCAGCTGAAGCGACAGGGACACGTCTTGCAGCCGCGGCCGCACACAACCACGCGGCCCTTCCCGTGTTCAAGCGGGCTGGGCCGGGCGCTGCCGGGGAGGGCGCTCGGGGCTGCGGCGGACACAGACGCCCGCGGGGGGGCGGGGCTTGGCCTTTCCGACAGGAAGGAGGGCGGGGCTTAGGGCAGAAGAGCCCGCAGCTGCTGCGAGGGGCGCGAGGGAGGCGGGGGAGGGGGGGCAGCTGTTCTCGCACACGCATGCACACGCCCCGCTCACACGGGCACACAGTCTGCTTGTGTACACACCTGCACACTCACACAGCTGCTCACACACGCATGTGTGGACTCATGCATGCACATGTTTGCTCACACATGCCCACTCACACACATCTACTTATACACGCGCGCACTCATATGCACACTCGCACCATATGCTTACACGCGTGCACCATCATGTGTACTCATACATGTTTCTCACATGCACCCTTGAATGTGCACATGTCTGATGTGTTTGCACGCACACGTTTGCTCCCACATACGTTCACATTTTCCCCATGTGCACACCTGCACACACGTTAGCTCACACACATGGCACAGGCCCAGAGGATGCTGGGGGGGTGCTGAGCGCGGGCGGAGAAAGGTGTCACTCCCTGATCCCCCACCAGCGGCAGCTTAAGGCCTGGAGAGACCCCTCCACTGGCATCCGGGAGCAGGAGGGGGAGGCGCCCCCCGCGGGGTGCGCTGACTCCACTCCTCCCGGGGCTGGGAGCTGGGCCGCCCCCCAGAACTGCCCCCCAACCGCCCAGACCCTCCCGCAGCCGGGGCCCGGGCTGCAGGAGCGTGTGACTCGCTTCCGGAGAGACCCACGGCAGCTGCCGCGGAGCCTGCTCACAAACACGTGTGTGTGTGGCTTGTCTGTGATGTGGGGTCTAGGAGAACACATGTACTTGGCATGTATGTGTGTGCATGGACTTATGTGGTGCACATATGTGGACACCAGGCTGAGAGCCTGTGTATGTGTACACAGGTGTGCAGTACACGTGTGCACTGGGGCAGGCACGGGTCTGTGTGCACAGTGTGCACATGCCCCTTCACAGGTGTGCCTGCGTGCCCCAAGCCTTTGCCGTGTCTGCACACATGTGTGTACAGCTGGCTTCTGGGGCGAGCAAGCCAGCCTCGCCCACACGGGCCTGGAGACAGCAGTGTGTGCCCGCGACGGCCACGCCGCAGCCACGTGCTGCAGGCAGCGGGAAGCGCCCGTGGAGCGGGCGGCAGGCGACCTCCGGCCTGGCAGGAGCGGTGCCAAGGTGCACGCGTGCGCCTGACGGGGTCTGCAGGGCCATGCAGCCTCTCGGGGGAGCCGCCTGCGCCTGACACGCGTGTGCATGACACACATAGAGGATACAGCAGGACACACACCCACACCCACATGCGCTCCCATGCACACACGTGCACACAGTGACCAACATGGTATGCGCACACCCTTTGCATTCACACATGCATGTGTACACATGTGTGGGCACACGTACACGCCGCGGTGCGGGTGGAGGGGGAGAGAAGGGAGAGGTGGCAGGGGTGTGAAACAAACACGACGGCCCCGGCGGGCGCGGCTCAGCGGAGGGAGCGCCGGCCCGCGGACCAAGGGGCCGCCGGTGCGATTCCCAGTCGGGGCGCAGGCCTGGGCTGCGGGCCAGGCCCCCAGCAGGGGGCGCGCGAGAGGCAACCACACGCGGACGTTTCTCGCCCCCTCTTTCTCCCTCCTTTCCCGTCTCTAAAAATAAACAAATAAAATCTTTAAAAAAAAAAAAAAACCTTTACAAAACCAAACACACACAACAGGAAGTGCACATGGGGCTGAGAGGAAGGGCCCGGAGGCGGCCGCAGGCAGGGCCGACCCCCAGCCCCCGCAGCCCTGCCCCTCCCGCTCTGGCAGGGAGCGCGCTCCCCCGCGGCACCCGCGCCCAGCGCGTGCGGCGTCGGCGCTCTTGCCTGGACTGCAGGTTCTTGATGCGGGACAGCATGTCCAGGTGGCCGGCCGAGTACTGCTCGATGACGTCCATCACGTCGTAGGGCCGCAGGCTCTCCTTGAACTTCCGCTTGGACACCAGGAACCTCATGACACTGGCGGCCGGGCAGGGGTTGTGAGCCCCCGGCAGGGTCACCAAGGCCCCTCCACGCAGGGCCAGCCCCGTCCACCCGCCGGGGCCCTCCCAGCATCTCCGGGAACGCGGACGACACCTCCCGGCGGCCTGGGCCGCCCGCCCGCCTCGTACAGCGGCCGCCCGCCCGCAGCTCAGGCCCCTGTCCACCTGGCCGTCCGCTAACAGCAGCTGAACACTGTGACGCGAGGCGCTTTGTGAGCCGCGAGGAGCGGGGACCACAGGGTGCCGGCCGCGAGGGGTCTCCCCAGAGCCCCGCCCCTCCCTGGGCCCTGTGCGGGGGGCGCCCTCACCCCCGACGCTGGGGTCACTCACCACACGGCCCGGATGCTGACTTTGAGGCCCGGGGTCAGGTCCTCGGTCACGAACTCGCAGGTGCAGCTCTTGTTGTCGTCCACAATGTCCTCCCCGGGGAGACTTGCTTCTGGGTGGAAGGGGACACAGCCCATGAGGGGACACGCCCGCACCCCGACCACGCATCGCTCCGCGTGAGGAGGAACGGAGCTCCGACCCACGGGCACCGTGGGGGCGCCCAGAAAACACTCGCGAACAAAGCCAGACACCGAGGACACCGAGCGGTCCGCCCGTGGGACGCGTCCAGGACACATGGAGAGGAAGGCGGGCGGGGCCGGGTGACCGCCGAGGGGGCTCTGTGGGGGGACGGCCCGGCCTGGAGCTACGCAGTAAATGGCTGAGTGCCCCCGAATCTTCCCTTTAAAATGGCTAGTTTTATGTGACGTGAACTTCACCCCACTAGAAAAAGAAACAGGTAAAGTGGGTACCGCCCCCGGGGAGTGAACCCCGACACAGCTGGGCCTCCGGAGGGCCACAAGGCCACCCACCTTCCGAGTTCTGCCGGGAGGCAGCGCCCTTGCCCCGGAAGGCCTGCCGCGCGCGGCTGCGGTCCCCGAAGCTCCAGCTCTTGGGCACCTTGCCGGGGCTGTCCTCCAGGCTCTGGTCGGCGCTGGGCGACCGCCTGACAGTCGGCTGCGCCTGCGGGGACCCCTTCCCCTTGGCGGCCACACCACGGGGGCTGGAGAAGACACGGTCTTTCAAACTGACCTTCTGACTGCTCCCGGGAGGACAGACGGACAGACACACACAGAGACAGCAAGAGAAGTCACTCTGGACAGAACCCCCGCATCTGCCCTCGGCTCCGAGCTGGTGTCCCTCGTGCACAGGAGAGAGGGGCAGACGCAGCCCCGGAGAGGCGCCGCGAGGGGCGGCGGCTGGCGGCCAGAGCCCAGGGGCAGGGGCGGCGCGGGCTGAGGGACACGCGGCGGCGGGTGGTCGGCTCCACGGGGGGACCGGGCTGCTCAGGCGCTTGGCCCAGCCGGGGGTCAGTGGACGCTGATACCGCCACCCGCGGGGGCCCGCGCCCCTTCCACGCGTCCAGCCAGGCCTCCCTCTGCAAGGTGACACCCGCGGCAGGACAGGTCCCCCCGAGCCCAGGGGCAGCGGCTTCTCCCTGGGCACCCAGCAGGCTCCCTGTCTGCCCCGCCTCACCTTCTAACTGCCCCAGGGTCGGGAGGGGCAGGTCAGCGGCCCCTGGGCCCTCGGCAGCCCCGGCAGCAGCTGAGGCCAGGGAGGAAAAGCGCGGGGAGGGTGGTGCCCGCCCGCCTCCCCTCCGCCCGCCCGCCCGCCCGGGCACGGCGCCGGGAACGCCGCCCCACTCCTGGAGGCTGCAGTGGGTGGGCCTGCTCCGCCGGCCGCCTGGGCGGCCACAGGCCTGCCGTCCCGAGCCCCGGCCTGCGCTACAGGGCGGGGGCGGCCACAGCCAGCCAGCCGCAGCCCTGGGGGGCCTCGGGCCGCCCTGGCCACGTGGCTCTTGGTGACCGTGGAGCCGGGCCCCACTGGGCAGCAGCCAGGAGACGGGGGTGGGCGGCCGCGGTCTGGACGCAGCATCAGGCCCGGGGCCAGGCCGCCACTCCTTTCCTCCCACTGGGCAGCCCCCCAGGTGCTGGGAGAGGCCGGCACAGCCCTGTGAGCTCTGAGCCCACCCGGGCCTCTGGTCGGGGCCTCTTGCCGCCGCTGCGGACTTGGGACAGGCCTGCCCCGGGCGGGGCCCTGCGGGACGCCCCCGCGCCGAACCGACCCTCGGGCATCGCCGGCCCCACCGCAGCCGCCCTGGGTCAGCCACCTCCCTCGGCCTCTGCAGGCGCCCACGGCCCAGGCCTGCCTGTCGGGGGCACGGGGTGACCGGCTGCGGAGAGACGGCAGCTGGCCCCCAGCCTGCGCGGGCTTGGGGGTCTCTGCAGGGCTAGGGGGGTGTCCTGCGGGGGCGGCCCCCCTGGAGCCCCCGGGTGTCCTGAGAGCACAGGACCGGGCGTCGGCTTGCTCAGGACGCTGGCCCCACGCTCATCGCCGCTGAACCCAGGGTGAGGCCCACCTGGGCAGGGGGACCGAGGGACACCCGGTGCCAGGCATCGTGGGGGCCGCGACCAAACGACCTCTTTCGTGTTCCTGTCCCAACAAAGCCCACCGGCTGGTGCGGGGAGACCAGGAGAAGGGGCGGCCCCACCGGCCAGGACCTGCTGCCCGTGCGGCACGAGGGGCCCCGCGTGGCCGGAGCCGGCCCTCGACTGGCTGGCCCGGCCGTGCCCCTGCTCAGGCCAGGGCGGGGCTCCCTGCCGCGGGGCAGACGCCCGCGTCTCCGGTCCCCTGCGGGGACTCGCCCCCGACCCGGCCCCCCGGACCTGCCCCGCGTCCGGACACCCAGACACCGGGGCTCTGCAGGCCCTCCCTCCCTCACAGGCCGCGGCCGGAGCCCGTGCACGGGGGCGGCGGGGGGGCGGCTCTGGCCAGGTGGCCCTGGCGGGAACGGGGCCGTTCTGAGACTCTGGCCTGCGCTCTGGTGTTTACACGGGGCTGGGGCACGTCCAGGAGGGTCCGGGGGCGAACGCCGAGGCTCCGCCGCCCTCCTCGCCCCCGCCGCCCCTCCCACATTCTAAATACGGGGGCGGGGCAGCTGCAAGCTGGGAGGGGCGAGTAGGCTCAGCCACGCCCCGGCCGGGCACACACGCATCCACAGGGAGCTGCCGGCCACAGCAGGCGCGGACGCCCACGGGCGGGGGGTGCGGAGGATGGGGTGATATTTGTGAGGCTTGTGCACAGCAGGACTGGACGAGGCCGGGACCCCGAACACAGCCCCTGACCCGAGGGAGCAGCTGGCGGCCGGGGCCCCACGGGCCGGCGGGACGGCCTCCGCCCAGCGCCTACCCCCGAGGACACGCGGGCGGCACAGGCAGGCGGGGCGACCCGGGAGCCGCTCGGGGTGAGGGTCCAGAGCATGCACGGATGCAGAGGTGCAAGCATGCGGCTGCCGGGCCTGGTCCCGCCGCGCGGCCCCTCCTGCCGCTCGGCGCCGACTGCATGCAGAGGACAGCAGGTGAGCGGCCGCCCGCGCCTCGCAGGCTACGCCGGTCAGGGCCGGGGGCGGGCAGGGGGGACACGGGGCCGGGAGGATGCGCCTGGAGCAAGCAGAACGGCAGACACGTCCACGCCCGCCCGCCGCCAGTGGGCAGCGAGGGGGCGGCTCCCACGGGGCCCAGGGCGGGCGGCTTCTCCACCGGCCCATCTCCGGTCTGCCCGAAACCAGGCCTGCCCGCGGGAGGGGAGCCGTGGCCTCTGGCTTTTCCCCGGTGTGCCCGGTGGGTCAGGGCAGCCGGGCACACACAGGAGAGGGCTGCCCCGGGCAGGAGGCGGCCTGGTAGAGGTGCTGGGCGGACACCGGGAGGAAGGCGCCCCGAGCGGTCGGGACCTGGGGGCCGGCGCCCCCCTGGGTTTCCGAGCCCCCGGCCGGCCCCCTCCTGCCGGGGGAGGAGGGGCCTTGGAATCGCAGGGCCGAGCTGCCAATTGGAATCGGGGGCCGGGGGCCGGGGGGGCCTCTCCCTGGCCCGTCTAGAACCTCTAGTAGGCGGAGTTCGGAGCGGGAGAGCCGTGCAGCAAAGGCCGTCCGTGCGCCGCGTCCGCGGTACCTAGAGTGTCCCGGGCAGCATCCACACAGGCCCTGGCTGCACAGTCCGCCTTTACTGGAAGTGAGGAGAGCACAGTTAGCGCCCGGGCAGGGGCGCCGGGGCACCATGCCCGCCGCGGGGGCAGCTGTGGGCGCGGGTCCGCCAGCCGCCGCGCCTGCGTCTGAACAAGGACCGTGAGGACGCTGCGCCTAAGGTCTTCTGCCGGCCTGGAAGAGAAAACGGTCCCCTATTTTTGGAGAGAAAAAAAAAAACACTTGTGTTTTTTCCTCCAAAAATATCTTTTCCTTCCAGAGTCAGAGCTTGGGGGTCACGTCTTTGAGAAGATGTATTATTTTTTGCTACATCCATGCGAACAAAAAAATAATACATGGGCTGAGACTTCGCGAAAGGCTCGTTCTAGGCGGACAGGGGTCCGGGAAGCGCGCGCCGGGGCAGGAAGACGTGCAGCGTGGCCTCGCACCCGCCGGCGGGCGCGCCCGAGCGGTGCGGCCCCCGGCCTGCCCGGGGCGGGGGTCTGCCGGAAACTCCCGCAACGGTCAGCCTGCCAGACCCCATCTCCTCGCCAGAGCACGCAAATGTCTAAGCGCAAAGGAAAGCGACGAACGGGAACCCCAAGAGAGCCCTCGTTCTCCCGGGGCCGCGCCCTCCCCTCGCCCTTCGCCTTCGAGCTGTTGCCCCTGGAGCAGCAGGTCTCAAACCGGGCTCCCGAGGGACCCGGACGCGGGCGGGGCCGGGGGGGGGTGTCTCCGCTCCGGGGAGGAGCGCCCGACGCACTCGCGCTCCTGGGAGCACCGGTGGCCCCTGCGGGCCGCGAGATGCCTCTCTCCACGGACGCACGGAGGACCGGCCTGGCTGCGTCGGCGGAGCCGGCACGTCCAGGGTCCTGGGCGCCGGCCGCTGGCCCTCCCGGGCTCGCCCTCCGAGGACGCCGAGCGCCCCGTGAGCCGCCCCCGCCCCGCCGTGGGACCTGCCTTGTCACGTGGATGAAGAACAGGGCTTGCTGGACAGCCAATCCTGGCAGGAGGGAGTGGGGCTCCAGCGGTCCCGGCAAGCGCGGGCACACGGGGCAGACGTCCCCGCGACATGGTGGCCCCAGGCCCCGGGGCCCCACCCGGCAGCCCCTCCGATTTGGGGCAAACGTTCCCTCCCAGGGCACCCCTCACATCAACCGCAGGTCCATCAGAGTGCGCCCGGCGGCTACAGACGGGGACCCCTTGGCCCGCTCCTCCCAGGGTCCCAGGCCGGCGGTCAGCCCCCCACCTCGGGGCGGTCGCCCGGGAAACAGGGCGGCGGGCGTGGCTCTGTCTCCACCCCCGTGACCAGCGTGGCTGCTGCAAACCTCCCCACTCTGTCGCCTGCCCTGGAAGCACTTCCTGGGGCCCCTCGGCCCCACGCCACCGCCGCCCCGTGGGGGACGGCCCCCCACTGCTCTCTGACGGGGCACCCGCCGCGCACGTGGGCCCTCAGCATGCAAGACAGGACTCGCTCACTTTCAATGAAAACGTAAACAGCCACGCGTGACTAGTGGCCCCTGCGTGGGGCGGCGCAGCCCCGACCCTGGCGGAGCCGGGGGGCCGCTGCCGGCGCCCCCACAAGCGCAAGGCCAGCCCAGCCTCCGGGGTTTCCCTGCCCCCGTCGGCCAGCCCGAACCTCCCCGTCGGAGAGCCGGGGCGTCAAGCCCAGGGAACTGGGCCCCCGAGGAAGGAGACACATCACACACACGCACCAAGACCAGACTGGACAGACACGCCCGCGACGAGGGGGACACGGGGCGAAGCGGCTGGGGACAGGGGTCTCCCCCAGGGACGGGCGGGGGAGGGCAGCCAGAAAGGGGAAGGTCAGAGGCCGGCGGGTCAGAGACGCGCCCGGAGCGGCACAGCCCGACCCGGCCGCCTGGCCTCCGAGCAGATGCGACGCCCGCTGCGAGCCGGGCTCCGGAGGGGCGGGGACCCCGGGGCGGGGCGAGGGTCCCTGCGCCCGCCCTGCCCGCCTGCCCCTCACGGGACTCCCACCCCCTCGAGGACACCGGAGCAGGATGGTTCCTTGCGCACCGAGGGTCTGCGGCGGCCCCAGGGGAGGGGACGGCACCGCCGCCCTCCATGTCCTGGCTGACAGGTGCCCCCGGGAGGCCGCGGGGTCACGGGCAGGCAGGGACACAGGACACACGGGGAGGAGACGGAGGATCGGTGTGCGGGGAGCAGGGAGCAGAGCCCGGGGGCTCCCGCGTGTCCTCACCTTGAGTCCTGCTTTCAAGGTCAGCACCTCGTCCCCAAAGACAGAGCGCACGGGGGAGGCCCCGAGAAGGGCAAGGACATGATTAAAGGCGCTTGGGAGGGGCCAGGTGTGCAGATTGGGGGGAGGCAGGAGAGGAGAGAGAGAGAGAGAGAGAGGCTGAGACCGGAGTCGCTGTGGTGGGGGGCCGGGGCCAGGAGCACACGGAGGAGCGGCCGCGGGCCACCGGGGCCTCGACGGGCGAGCGGGCGGGCGGGCGGGCCGGGGCGGGGCGCAGCAGCCGCCGGCGCCTCCAGGCAGGCGCTCCGCGGGGCAGAGCCTGCCCGCCCCCCGCCCCCCTGGCTAAACCGGCTCTGGTCCGGTGCTCTTTTCTCAGCCTCTGTGAGGGGCCTTCACTGCTGATCTTTGGCCATTTCAGGGCAAACGTAGTGCCCGCTTTGCCATCCTGGGCCCCAGCCACCATTCCCTGGGGACCTGGGGGGCCGGACGGTGCCCTCGCCTGGCCATCGGAGCGGGTGGGCTCAGCCCGACTCCGTGTGCCCTGCCCGAGCAACCAGCTGGCCGCCTGCGTACCAACAGGGAGCGGAGAGGCGAGAGGGCCGCATGCTGGTCTGTCGCCTGGGGCTCAGAGAACTCAGCACGGGGACGCCCAGCCAGGCTGGAGTCCATGAGACAGGAGGCCGTGGCGGCACCTGGATTTTCTCTCTACCCCCACGAAGCTGTGGGCGCCACGCGCCGCCGGCAGACCGCCCGCAGCACCTCACCGCAGGGTCTCCCGCCCACGGCCCGCCGCAAACTGGACAGGCGGGGACCGGCAGGGCCCCCCAAAAGACAGGACACCCTGTGCTACAGAAGGAACCTTCCCACTCCCCCCAGAAACCTTCAGCAAACCGAGCTCTGCCCCTCGGGCATCCAGGACCGGTCCCCCGAGCGCCCTTCTCTGCCGCCTGCCCCGCCCCGGCACGGACCCCCCTGGGACCTCCGTCGCCGAAAGCCCCTCCCCGGGGACAGGGAACCGGCCCGGGCCCCCGCGGCGACGCGCAGGTGCGGGCGTGGGCGCACTGACCTGGGAGACGGCTCCGGCTGCGGCTCCTTCCTGGAAACAGAAGCGACGGGACTGTCAGACAGTTCCCCGCGGCTCCCGAGCGTCCTGGGCCCCGCCCACCCCCCCGCCCAGGGCCCCGCCCACCCCGCCGCCCAGGGCCCCCAGCCCGCGAGGCCGAGGCGGCTGGCCCTGGAGGAAGGGGGCTCCAGCCCTCCGGCTGGGCCCCCCGCTCCTGCCCCGGGCCCCGTCTACACGCGCCTCTGCCTCGGGGCCGGAGGGACCGCGGGCACGGAGGCCCCCCACGGACGTCGCCGCCGCCCCCAACGCGCACTTTCCCCTGCAGGGGCTCCCGGCTCCCTGCCCTTTGCCGTCCGACACCCCCACGTCGTCGAGGCGGTTTCGCTTCGCTCAGCCATTCCCCCTGGATTCCGATGCGCGTCTCCCTTCAGTGTCTTTCCCTCGGCGGCGGCGGCGGTGGCAGGAGAAACCAGGCCGCGCCTCCTGCGTGCAGCTGGACACTGGGGCGGGGCCCCCAGCCTGTCCACAAGGGTTGCGCCGAGCACCCCACGTGGCAGCCCAGCGTGGGCACCAGCGGCGGCCACGCCTCTCACTTCCGGCTGGGACCTCGCCGGGGGCTCCGCCACGTCTGTCGGCCGTTCCAGGCCGAGCGGGAGCCGGCGCCTTCCTTGTCCCCGGTCCCAGCCGCCGTTTCCCCTGCACAACCCGGCCTCTTTGCTCCGGCGCTTCACAGGTCTCCCCAAACCGTCCGCCGCCTGCCACGTGATCCCAAGGCCACTGCTGCACATCCGGCCCCTGTCACCGCGGCGCCCACTTCCCACACGGGGACCTGGGTGGGTTCTGTCTCTGCCTGGACCGAGCGCCACGCACGGGGGGCTCTCCCGTTCCGGAGGCCAGGCGTGGAGCTCGGGAGCCGGAGCGCCCGCTGAGGCGGCAGGGGACAGTCCTTCCGCTCCTGGTGGGCCCTGGAGTCCCCAGGCTGGTGGCCACGTCGTCCCATCTCCGCCTTCATTCACGGGGCCATCTGTCTCTGCTGTCTCTAACGAGGACGCTCGTAGCTGGATTTAGACACCCTGAGCCAGAGCGGCCTCGCGTTGAGGTCGTTCACTTAATCACGTGGGAAAGGCCTTTCCACAGTACGGTCGCGGTCATGGGTTCCAGGGCACGGACACGTCTTTTCGGGGGGCCCGCACGGACCCCTCGGCCGCTCTGCTCCACTCAGGGCTCCGCCTCGCTCCCACCGCCCCTCCATGCCAAGCTCTCGGGTATTGCCAGGCCCCACGGCCACCCCTGCCCGGGCGGCCTGTCCCCGCTGAGAGCCCGTGGGCAGCAGGACCCCAGGAGGACGGACATGCCCACGCCCGGCCGCCCACGCCGCCGCCGGCCTCTCTGCTGACCTGAACGTGAGCCCGGATTTGCTCTTGAGGTTCCGCAGCAGCTCCAGCTGGTTCAGCGGTGGGATGAGCCTGCGGGCGGGAGAGGCCCGTGAGCGCCCGCCTGTGGGCATCGGGAGCCTGGGGGCGCGGCCTGGCCCCGGCAGGAAGCGGAGAGGTCCGGGGCGGGGACCCAGGGCTCGGGGAGTGCCACCCGCAGTCGCTGGCCGCACCTCCCGGGCCCTCGGTCCTGGAAGTGCCCGGTGACCGGCTCACACAGCAGGGGTGGGGGCGGAGCCTCGCCCGCGGGGGCTGTGGGCACCGTCCCCTCTCCAGTCCCTGGACACCCCGAGGCCAGCAGTTACGACACAGGCCCCCGCGCACCCAGGCTCCCTCTCTGCAGACCCGGGGCAAGGGAGGGTCCCAGAGCAGCTCCGCGGGCTGCACAGGAGCTGCCGGCACAGAGAGGAGCCCCGGAGCCCCCGACAGCTGGCCTGGCTCTGCCCCAGGCCCGCGCCCCAGGCCCAGACAGCCCTGCGGGCCGCCTCACGCGCCCCCGCCACCTGCCGGCCCCCGGGAAGGCGCAGACAGGACCTCCGTGAAGAACCGAGGCCCAGCCTCCACACCAGGGCGGGGGGCCTGCGACCCGGGAGGTTCCTGGGGGGAGGCCCCAGGCTCCCCACCTCCTGGTCTCTCCCTGCTGACCCGGCCAACCCCCACCCCGGGACGCCCGCTCACCCCTCGGCCTGTGCAGCCCCAGTCCCTCCCAGCCCCCAGGCCCCTGGCTCTGGGTCCCCCTGCCCGCGGGGCTGTGCCCGCCTCCTCCTGAGCCTGCGGCCGCCCGGCGGCTCCGCCCCTCATCCTCCAGGTCCCTCTGTCCTTCCGCCTCCAGGCCAGGCTGGGGCTCAGGACGTCCGCCACCCTCCATGTGACAGGCCCCTGTCATTTTTGCGCTCGAACACTCAGTGGTTCCCAGGCAGAACAAGCGTGGCCCCACTGCACACGCGACCCTGACCTCCGCCCACTGTCTCTGGCTTTGCCCTGGCCCCTCCCCTTCCCGGGGCCCGGCCAGTCACTGTCCCGAGCCTCTGCAGGCCCCGCAGGACAGGCCAGGCAGCGGTGCCCGGACACGCTGGGGGCGGGCGGTCCTGTACGCCCCCCGCCCGCCCCCACCCAGGGCTGCCCGCTGTCCTCGCGGGTCAGCGCCAGGCAGGAGGCTGGGCAGTCAGGTGCTCACGTTGTGGGCGCAGAGGCCCCAGGACGCCCCCCCCACCAGGTCCAAGGTCAGACACGCAGACGGGGCGCCATGCCCTGGACACACAGCAGCGGGGGCGGGACACGGGCGGGCAGGGCTGGGGCAGGGATGCGCAGGCACCACACGCAAGGCCACGCACCACACACAGGGCCACGCACCACACGCAGCCCGCCACCTCCAAGGGCGGTCGGCTGGGGAAGACACGGGTTTGGTGTGCGGGCAGGAGTGGGGGGGTACGTCAGGGGCACCCCCAGGACCGAGCGGCAGCTGGTCTGGGATCAGCCGGCCTGGGGGCAGCACTAGCGACCCAGGTCGGAGCCGGGGCGGGGCGCCTGGCCGACCCCGGGGGGCGCGGGTCGGCTGGAGAGGGTGAACCCGGAAGCTCCCGGTGGAGGGCCCTGTCGGGGCCCGGAGCAGCTCCCACTGCCACCTTCCTCCCCGCGGAGGCCCGGGGTCAGGGAGAAGGGCGGGTCCATGGGGGGCTCAGTCCCACCCACCGTGCGGCTAGGCCCTGCCTGCCCGGCGAAGCACCGCCCTCCCCTCTGGGGGGGCAGCCAGGGGGCTTCCCGACCCCTGGAGGTGGCAGGAGAGGCCTCTGGCCCAGGACCCCAGCTCTGTCCACATGGGGAGAGGGCAGCCCTCACTCTGCGGGGCCGTGGGTGGGGACCGTGCGGGGCCCCCGCCCCGGGAAGGAAGGGGCGTGCTGTGGGGTGGGGTTTCCTGCAGCAGCTCGGCACCCCCAGCCTGGGCAGACGACCCCGTGCCCCCCTTCAGGCAGGAGAGAGCCCCGTGCAGGCACACGGGGCCACGCCTCCCACCCGCGGGAGCAGGTCCACGGGGGGCCCCACCAGGCCGGCGGCCCTGGTGTCCCCGACGGGGACGTGGAAACCCCCGGCCACGCCCCTGCGCTGTGCCACGGGGCCCGGGGGCTGAGGGCGGGGGCCCCGGGAGCGACCCCGGCCACCGAGACAAGGCGGGCAGCAGGACAAGGAACAGGAGACGACCCGGAACGGACGGTCCAGCACAGGGAAGCGGCCGAGGGGGAGGCAGGGGACAGAGGAGAGGGGACACCGGGGAGGCAGGGGAGGCGCACTCCAGACAGGAGCCCAGGGAGCCGAGGGCAGCGCCCGGCCGGCCGCAGGCAGGGGCGGGAGGCAGGGGCTCGGCGGGTGGCCCCGCGACGGCCCCACACGGAGGACAGACCACACCACACGCCTCTGTCCCATGCATGTCCTACCTGGAGGCCCCGTAGGTTTGAGCTTGCGAGCTTTCAAGTGTTTTCACACGCACGCACACAGGGGAGAGAACGGAAATTTTAAAAGAAGGGGATAAGGAGGAGAAAACGGAATCAGGGTTGAGGGGGCGGGGGGAACAACAGAACAGAGAAGGTTAGCGTGGGGGCCCTGCCGGGGCCGGGGCGCAGCGCGTTCGGGCGGACGCAGGGCAGGGCGGCACCCTCTGCCCGGGGGACAAATCCCTACTGAGGCTGACGGCAGGCGGGGGCCGCCTCTGGCCTGCCTGGCCACCCCCGGCTTTGGGACCCTCAGCTGCTGAGGCTCCGGGGGCGGGAACGCCCAGGGCCTCCGTCAAAGCCGGAGCCGGGCACAGCCCGACCCCGGGCAGGTCCCCCGTTGGGGCCGCCCGCTGCTCTCGCCCGGGACGCGCTTGCGGGCTGGCCACGCGGCCGCACGGGCCTGCTGGCGCCTCCGCCAGCCGCACCCAGCCAGGGCCTCCCGCCCCCTCGCCCACCCACAGCCGCCTGCAGCCCCAGGGGACGCGGGCCTCGGCCCTACAGCCGCGCCGCGGTCGGGGTCGCCCCCTTTCCGTGCTGAGGCCGTGGTCCCCTAAAGCATGCGGCCGCCCCCGCGGTCGCGGCGCCCGGGGCGCGTGCCCGAGCTTGGGGCGGGGCGGGGGTCCCCACGGTGCCCACGACACTGCGCACCTGGCGGGGAGGCTAAGGAGGGGCGGAGGGGGTGGAGGTGAAAACAAAAGCCGCGAGGTATGAAAAAAACAAAACCAATAGCGAAAGAAACCACACACAGAACTCCATTTTGAAAAGTATGTGCATTTTTAAAGAAAAAAGAAACGAAACAGAAACCAATCAAAACAATGAACAACCAAAAACGCGGTCTCCGAAGGGCGGGCGGCGCGGGGCCGTGGCGGCGTGGCGGTACCTGTACATGGGCACGGTCACCGTCCGCTCGTAGTACTGCCACGTCGAGTGCAGGTCCGTGCGCGACAGGTTGGTGGCGTAGAACCTCCAGGCCGACTGCGGGGGAGACACGGGTCGACCACGGGCCGCGCTGGGGCCACGGTGGCCCGGCGGGGCCCTCCCACCTGTCCCAGGGTCTCCGGTGCCTGTCCCCACCCCCCAGCCTCCGTCTACCCTCTGTAGGTCCTGCCCTGTGGCTGCCACCTGCCGGGGGGGCGGGGGCTGGCATGGGGCAGGTGGCGCGCACCTGCCTGTCCTCATCGCTCTTACCTGACACCTGGCGGTGATAACCTGCCTCACAGTCGCCTCCTGCCTCCCCAGTCCTGAGGGACGTGCCGGCCCATGTGACCTCAGGAGCCGGGGGACCGGGGACACAGGGCCTATCCTCCAAGCGTGGTGGCCCACAGGCAGCAGGGGGTCAAACTGACCACCACGCAGGGTCCGGGCCGGCTGGTCAGACCGTCCTCAGCCCGGCCTGGGCCTCTGCCCTCAGCTTTCGTACGTGTGGTGAAATTACCCAAATTCCCCATTTTAACCACCTTCAAGTGCACAGTCCAGCAGCAGTTAGTTGCTGTGTGACCCTCACCTCCACCTGGTGCCACAGTCCCGTCACCTGAGGATGAGCCACCCCCACCTCCATTGGCAGCCACCCCCATGGCCCCCAGGCTGCGTAGTCCCCCCGGCTTCCCTCCGAAGGACTCGTAATGTGTGGCGCCCGGCGCTGATTCCTTTCCCGTGGCCTGTTTTCGAGGCCCATCCACGTGCCTCGTTCCTTTTAAGGCTGAATTCCGTGCCCTGGGACAGGCAGAGCCACCGGCCCATCTGCCCCTCCGTGGCGGGCATGTGGCGGTCCCCACCTTGCGGCCGTCACGAGCAAGGCTGCCCCGACATCGGCGTGCGTGCATTTGGTGGAACGCCCATCGTCCACGCTTTTGGGCGTTCACTTGAAGCGGGGTTGCTGGGTCACGTGATGGCTACTTTCTTGGGGAACCCCGGACTTGCCTAGGGCGGCTGCGCCGTTTCACGTCCCCGCCGCAGAGCGCGAGGGCTCCCTTCCTCCACGTCCTCTCCCGGCGGGGCGGGGGCGTCTCCCTGTGGCTTCGATTTGCCTTCCCCTCGTGACCAGCGAGGCTGAAGGCTCCGCACGGCTGGCCGGCCCCGCCCATCTCTGGGGAGACGTCGGGGGGCGGGGGGAGCCCTTTGCCTGTTCCCGAAGTGAGCCGTAGGAGTCCTTCACGTGTTCCACGTCCCAGCCGCCTGTCAGACATCAGAGCTGCAAATACCTTCGCCCACTCTCTGCCGTCGCTTGCAGCAAAGATTTCCAAGCTGATCGAGTTGCCTTTGTCTACGTTTTTCACTGCCTGCGATGTTGGGGTCGTTTCTAAGAAGCCGAGGTGGTGGGGCTGGCGCCGCGCCCTCACGGTGGACACCGCAGGCTCCCAGCGGTGCAGTGCACATCAAGCCGATGCGGCGTCCACGGGCGACAACGCTCGGCTCGGCTCTGCTCCCGTGCGGCCCCCCCGCCTGTTGTTACTGTCGCAGACGGCGTCTCGACGCGTTGCGTGCCCGGAAATGCAGGTGTGTGATTGTTGCTTTATGCCCGGGGCTTGCAAACAGACAGGGGGAAAAACGCGTTTCAAACCGAAAGCGCCCGGCCACAGGCGTCTGCGTTTATCTCCGCGCTCACCGCCCCGGCACGCGTGTGGCCGGGCGCCGTGGCGACTCCCGCGGCTGTTGGCTGCGCGGGCATGTCTTCTCCCCGTCGCCTGTGAAGGGTGGTTTTCCCAGCCGGGCCGTTCTTGTCTGACCACAGGTTTCGGCACTGCCCTGCGCCCGCCCCCGCCCCCCCCCGTGGCTTCCACGGTCAGTCTTGCCGGGGTCCTCGTCCCTGACGCGTCACTTCCCGCGCTGCCCCCGCGAGTCTCTCTCGGCCCTCGGGCTCCGGCGGTCCGGCCGCACGCGCCTTCTGGCCGACCGGCGTCCACCCCACGGCGCTCCCTGCACGTCCTGGCCGCGCAGGGTTGTGACAGCAGCACATTTGGAAAGCCTTCGGCCTTATTTCTTGAAGTTCTCTCTGCGCCCCTCTCTTATTCCCCCTGTTCTCTGCTGCCTCCTGTTTTTGTTGAAAACCGGACGTTCTCAACAGGGAAACGCAGGAGCCCGGGAGGCCAGGCCCCGCCGCTGCCCCGTGCTGGTTGCGGCGGCTGCGGCGGCTCGTTGTGACCCCTCTAAGGGCCGCTCCAGACGCTCTCGTGCCCGCGGCGTCCCTCCGCGCGTGTGGCTCCTCGGGCCTCTGTTCCACCAGCTCAGTGCTCAGCGGCAACATGCCAGGCCCAAGGCGCCAACGCGGGAGCAAAGACTCAGCCTGCGCAGCTTGGCCCTGCGTGGGGCGCTCCCTCCCCGCGGGGCCAGGCCGCGTGCAGCCCCGCTTCCGCCTGCACTTCCTGCTGGCACAGAGCCCGAAGGTCAGCCCGCGGTGAAGGCTTAGGGTCTTCTGCAGTCACCTCGGACTCTGCGTCCAGCTGCGGGTTCGTAGGCGGCCTCCCGGACCCCGGTACACACCCGTGTCTCCCTCGCCTCCCGCTACGTCTCCTTGCCGAGCCTGCTCTTTCCAGGTTTCCGGGCTCCGCTCCCGGCCCCCATGGCTGCAGCGGGCCCCGCCTTTGCCTTGGACAGACGCCCCAGCCCTGTGGGTGTGCGGGCAAGCGGCGCAAAGGCCAGCTCACGGGATAGCCGGGGACGCGGGGCGGCGGCTGCGTCCCGGCGGGGGGCCGGCTCTGTGAGCTGGGAGCGCAGATGGGGCTCATGCACCCCCGGCCACCGGGGAGGGGGGTCTCTGAGCAAGAACGCCTCTGTCTGCCAGGGCGCTGGGAGAGGCTGCTCAGCGGCACCGGCGACAGCCTGGCCCGGGGCCGGGGCCCACGCGGGACGGCAGCCCGCACAGCCTCGGGCCTCCGACCGGGCACCCAGCACACGGACCGACGCCGTCCAGCACAGGGACGAGGGCCGGCCCACAGACGGGCCTGCACCGAGCAGGGCTTGGCTCCTGCGCCCGACCGGCCCGGGTCCGCGGCTCCGGGGGGCCGGGGCGCTGCCCGACTCACCTGGATCAGGCCTGCGGCCGGGTTCCGCCGCTTCTCGAAGTGCTTCTGTCGGTGCTGCTCCTGGACCTTCAGGGCGAAGCCGGACCCCAAAATGCCCTGCAAGTCACCGGGGTGAGACGGAGCCTCTGGCACCACGTGGCCCCCCACCCTCCACTCGGCCCTGGGGCTCCACCTCCCAGCTCCTCAGCCCCCGGCCAGCTGGATGCCAGGTTGGGGGAGAACGTTTGGACTTGGGGTGAAGGACATGGCAGCTTGCAGGGGCGCGGCAGGGCCCACAGTGAACACGCCGGGGCGGAGACGCGTGGCCCTTCCCGGATCTGTCCACACTGCAGCGAGCGCCGGCCAGGCCTCCGCGAGGGCCACCGGGGACAGCCGCCTCCCCAAGGCCGCCGGCCGCTCGCCAGCTGCCCTCTGCCCAGCCCCGCCAGCCCTGGGTGGGCAGTTAGAGAGCCCTCGCCCCTGCTGCAGCAGACGGGGTCCTCGGCCCCCTGGAGGCCTGACAAGGGAGCGGGTCATCGTAGGGCTCTGATCCCGTTCCCGGGGGCCCTGCCGGCCGGTCCCGCCGGAGGGAGGAGCTGCCGCTGCCCAGCAGGGGCGGGGCCGGAAGCCACAGCCTGGAGACGCTCCGGGCCCTCTGGGGGTGAGCCGCGGGCACTCCCCGCTCCAGGCTGGGGCAGTCGCACGTGGGTTCCCGGGAAGGGCCCCCTCTGCCCCTGCGCTGCCACCTCCTGCTCCCGAAGGACGGTGACCCTGTGGGGAGCCCGCCCCATGTTGCTGGGGCCCCCGGGAGCCCGAGGCCCCCCGTCCACCACGGGCAGAAAGGGATAGGACGCACGGCGGGAAGCGCGAAGAAGGAGACCCCGATGAGGGTGAAGGTGGCCGCCAGGAGCCGCCCGTTCCAGGTCTGGGGGTACTTGTCGCCGTAGCCGATGGTCGTCAGGGTGATCTGCAGGACAGCCAGCTGGGTCACTTGCCAGACCTGGCGGCGGCCACAGAGGGCCCGGCGGCCCTGAGCCAGACACTCCTCAGCCCTCGGGGGCTGACACCAGGGCCCCCACGCCCCGCAGGGCAGGCTGGACCCTGCGTGGTGGCAGAGACTCGGAGGCCACGCCTCCCCCGCCGCCCCCGTGGGCCTCAGTGAGGCCAGGCTGGTGGCCCCAGCCGACCTCCAACCTGTGACAGACCACAGAACCCTTCACGCCTCCCCTCTTCTCCCTGCACACCGCGGTGGGCGGGCATCTGAGGGTTCTGCCCCCACAGCCGGGAGGCACAGGGAGGCCAGGGCCTGGGGGCGGGGCCCGGAGGGGGCGGGGCCCGGGAGGGGCGGGGCCCGGGAGGGGCGGGGCCGAGAGGAAAACAAGCGTTGGGCCAGGGGCTGCCTCAGGGGGCCACACGCAAGCTCAGGCCAGGGGAGGGCGGGGCGGGGGCAGCCCAGCGGGCTGAGCTCCCCGCTCCAGCAGGGCCTGGCTTCCCTTTTACCAACTTTTCCGTCCCTCAGTGTGACCAGCAGGGGTCACACGCAGGTGGCCCGGGAGGCAGGGAGGGAGGGAGATGAGGGCCAGGCCTTGCAGGCTCCCCGGGGCTGGGCCCCTCTCCGCCCGCCCGCAAGCCAGCCAGAGCACCTGCCCAGCCAGCCTGGGCGCCACGCCCCGCGTGCCCAGCAGGTGGCCCCAGGGAGAAGTCTCGGGCCAAAGAGAGCCCGGGCGTCTCCAGCCCAGGCCCCGGGGGGTGGGACGGGGGCACAGGCGCGGGGGACCAGGGTCCCCGCGGCCGGGACTCACCAGGCCCCACCAGAGCGCGTCTGCGTAGGTGTCGAAGTGGTCGTTCTCGCCCTTCTCCGCCAGGTACACCAGGAAGGAGGCCAGGATGAGGCACAGGAAGCCGATGTACCAGGCGGTGACCAGCTCCTGCAGAGGTGGCCGCGTCAGAGCGCCGGACCCGCGTCCAGCCCCGCCTGCTGCCGGGAGCACCGAGGGCCGGCGGCTGCCCGGCCACACGGCCCCAGGCTCGGGGCAGGCGACGGGGGGGGCGGGTGTCCTGGGGCGTCCCCCGACTGTGCACCTCACCCCCGGGGGGACAGCAGCCCAGGACAGCCCCGCACGTGCCTCCATCCAGGGTTGAAGGTGTCCCCTGGCAGCCGACAGGCCGTGAGGCCAGAGAACGCTGGAGCTTGAGACCCGACCCCACGAGACACCCTGGCTGTCCCTGGGGTCCAGCACCTCAGCACCTTCGGGGACCAACACGCTTGGTCCGGCTGACCGAGTCCCTGCCTCAGGGCTCAGACAGCAGGGACAGTGGGTAGGGGCCTGTGGGCCCACCCCCAACCACAGTGGCACATCCAGGCAAGACAGGGTCCGGGCCTCCCGGGGCTCCCTAGAAGTGGGGGGGTCCCAGATGGGGCGCGGCTGCAGCCACCTGTGGGTTCCAGTGCCCGGGCCCATGCCAGCCTCGGCCTGAATGGGCGTGGCTGGGGCTTGGCTCCCACACACCCACCGGCCTCCGAGCCAGGGGCTGCGGGCGGCCCACGGACCTTCTGGGCCCTGCCCCGTGGCGGCTCACCTTGCTGTGGGCATAGACCACGGAGCCCAGGAGCTTCCAGGTGCCGCCGCGCCGGTCCATGCGGATCATCCGGAGGATCTGCAGGAAGCGCAGGCTGCGGAGCGCAGACGTGGCGAAGACATTGCCCTGGGAGCCGGCGGCCAGCACCGCGATGGACGCGATCAGCACCATGATGTCTGCGGAGACGGGAGCTCGAGGAGGCTGCGGGCTGGGGGGTACCCGGCCGGGGTTCCAGGAGGCGCAGGCGGAGCGCCCAGCGCGGGGACGGTGGCTGGCGTCCGCTCAGCCCTGCCCTGGGCACGGCCGCCCTGCGCCCCTGCCTCTCCGGCCCCATGAACCACGAGCTCGGACGCCACGTGGGCGGAGCATCCGCGGTCTCTCCTGGCCTCCCGGCCCCTTCCAGGGCCCCTGTCCGCCCTGCACCCGCGCCCGGCCTCACCAATCACACAGAAGGGCTTCCGGGCGAACTTGAGCCGCCCCCTCCAGCCGCGGTAGCGGCAGCAGCAGCCGGCGGCCCAGATGCGCACGAAGTACTCCACGCCGAACACCACGATGGTCACGATCTCCTGCAGGGGGCGCAGCTGAGCCGCCGTCCGGCCGGGGCCGGGGGCGTGGCCTGGCCCTCTGGTGCCTCCCCCCAGCCCGGGGCCGACCCGGGAGAGGACCGGGAGGGGTCTCCCCGGACGTGCCTTCTGCACCTGGAGGCCCCTCCATCCCCAACCGCAGCGCAGAAATCCCACCGGGGTCGCCCTGGCGCCCGCCCTGCCCCTCGGGGTCGCTGTGAGCGGCACCACCCGCACGCCCCGCCTGGGCCAGAGACACCCCAGGTCCCGTGGGTCGGGAGGACGCGAGGCCAGGCCGTGGGGGCGGGGGTGCTGGGGCGCTGGGCAAGGGCCAGGTGGCGGCTGTCCTCCGCCTGCCTGCACGGCTCACCAGGATGTAGAGCGCGCCCTCCGAGCTCTTCTCGTACTCCTTGATGGTGGAGAACACAGAGAGCACCAGGCAGGAGAAGACCAGCAGGAACCTGCGGGGCGGGGGCGCCGTCAGCCGGCCAGGGACCCCCACCGCCCGCGCCCCCACCCGCCCGGCCGCCCTGGCAGCCTGGTGCTCGGGGAGGGCGCCCGAACTCAGCGCCGGAGGGAACGGGCCGGCCTCCTGGGCTGCAGGCGAGACCCCTGGCCACCCGGCCATGGCTGCTCCTCGTTCACCATGGCCCCTCTCTAGGGTCCGCGGCAGACACTTTGTCTTCCTGTTAACGCCGACCTCACGCGCAGCCCTGGCCTGCGGGGGCCTGTGAGGGGTCCTGTCCCACGGGACGCGGCGTCTGTGGGTTGGGGGTCCCATCTGCGGACCTGCGTCTCTGGCCGCCCTGCCGTCCCAAGTGACGGGCACCAGGAGCTGAGGCCCCGCCCAAAGCCGATGCCTGAGAACCTGGCCCCAGGCTCCTGCGGGGCACCAAGCACACAGCGAGGGGAAGCGGGAGGAGGACCCACAGCCTGCCCTTCCCACGGGACACCGTGGCCCAGCCCCAGCCCCACGGGGCACTCGTCGGGGCCATCAGCCCCGTGGTGGGGGGCGGCTGAGGCCCGCTGGGGCCAACGCTGCCTCGTCCGCCTGACCCTCGGCGACACCCACTGGGCCGCCCGCCCCGTCCTGCGGCGCCCAAGCCTGGGCTGCACCGTGCGCCCAGCACCAGGGGGCCCGCGGCGGCCCTGCCCCACAGCCTGGCCACCGCGCCCGGAGACACAGGCCCCCCCGCCACGGGGCTGACCGGCCCCCGGGGACTGTGGACGCGCAGAGGCGCTGACAGAGGGGCACAGACAGCGCCTGCCACCACAGACGAAGAGCCTCAGAGAGACTGTCACATTTCAAAACCGCAATTAATTTCCTTTGCTCATTAGCCAATTTATTCAATTAACCGAGCCCTGGAAAAACGTCCAGATTCTCTCGTGTGCCTTATATTCATAATTGTCGACCCGCCTGGTGGCGTCCTCTCCCGACGCGGCCGTGGGGACACGCGCCCGCGCCCGGAGCGGGCCCACCAGCGGGGCAGGGTACAAGGCCCCACGTTGGGATCCGAAGGTTGGGCGTGGGGGTGCACAGAAGGCAACCTGCACCGCAGACGGGGCGCCCGGGCCCAGCCCGGCTCAGCACCGTGAGGCGGGAAGCCAGGGGAGGCACGGAGCCCGGTGGGCTTCCCTGAGGAGGTGTCCGCGAGGACGCTCCTGCGGAGCGGGCAGAGCTGGCGGGGTCAACAGCCCGGGAGGGCAGCGAGCTCCTGGCAGAGGGAGAGCGAGTTGGGGCGGCATGTCCCTGACCAGCCGAGGCCGCGTCTAGCCGACCGGAGAGGGGGCGGGGAGGGCCTGCCGCAGCCCCGGGCAGGGCACTCTGAGTCCCAAGCTGGCCGGGCCCTCTCCACCCTGCATGCTGAGGGCGGCTCTGAGGGGATCATTCCAGATCATTCCGGGATGGCCTAGCCGGGCCGCAGAGCCCGCCCCAGCCAGCCGTGACCAGACGGACGAAGGCAAGCCCCCGCCCCCCGCGGCCCCACCCCGCAGCCCCAGGCTTGTTTTTGAAGTTTTGGAGCAGACGGCCCCAGATGGCGCCCGGTGGGGGAGACGACTCGCTGCTCAGGAAGGAGGCTCTCGACGCCCACACCCGCCCGAGGAGGGGCAGGCCGGGCAGCTGCGTGCGCGGGCCTCCTATCACACCCCCGGAGTGGGGACGGCAGAGGCCCCCCCGCCACCGGACCTGCAGGCCCAGGATGGGGCCGCGCCCACGCGCGGGGGGGTACCCCCAGGCGGCGGGGCCTCCCCCTCCAAGCAGCTGGATGTGGAGAAAGACGCACGTTCCCGGGCCTCTTCCGGTCCTCAGCACCCTGGGACCAGCCACCGCCCCACCCAGCGCGCGGCAGCCTCCCGGGCCCCCGACGGGGAACTAGGCTTGGGGAAACGGGCCTCTGGCCTCAGGGTCTCCGGGCACAGCGTCCTCAGGGACAGGAGACACTTCACTGAGGTCCGGCCCTGGGGGGACGGATCTCAGACATGAAGATGATGGGGATGACCTCCTGCAGCCCCGCTGTCCATCGGGGTGACCCCGGGCAGACGCCGAGACGCCCATGGGCGCCCAGGGACGGGAGCGCGGCGGGGGCCCCTGCCTGCTTTCCGGCAGAGCTTTCCGCCCGAGCACCCCTCCGCCCGCTCCTGCCTCCGCCCCCTGCCCGGGTGTCTCTGCGGGAGGAGCCCTGTGCACCCAGAACGCGGACCCCTTCAGGTCCCAGAGGACAAGGGAAGCTCAAGGGGACCTGGGGCCGCCTCCTCCGGGAGAGGAGACACAGGGAGAGACAGGCGGCTGGGAGCCCTGGGGGTCTCGCCAGTCCCCCAGCATGGGAAGAAAAGACGGGAGGCAGGCAGACGGGAAGGTGGTTTCCCACAGCCCGAGGCTAATTATGATAATGAATTCAAAGTGGAGACCCGAGCCTGGCAGCGGTTGCCAGGGAAACAGCATCTCAAGCAGCTGGTCCCAGTTCCAGGCGGGGCAGCCGGCTCGGGAAGCCCGCCCTGCAGGCTGCTCGCAGCAGAGCCCCGGGGAGGTGGGCGGGGGGGGGCGACATCGAGCCCCCACAGGCTGGAGGGCAGCTCGGTGGCCCGGCGGGGTCGGCCCAGCCCCCTTCCCCTGGCGGGGTCCGCAGACACGCCGAGGGCCCAGGCGCCGGGTACATGGGAGCGGCGGCCCGCGCGAGGCCAAAGCCAGTGCCCTGCAGGCCGGTGGCCAGGCTCCCCGGGGAGCCCCGCCTGCCCGCGGCCGGCGGCCGGCGTGGGGGCTGCGGCCGGCCTGAGGGCTGCGGCCGGCGCTCCACCGGGAATCTAATTTCGCCCCCTAATAAACTGCTCTGCCTCCAGGCCCCGCTGCCACTTCGGATCGTGGGTGACGGGAGCCCGGCTGTGCCGCCGCCCCAGGCGTGCGCCTGCCGTGACAGAGGACTTCGCCGGCTGCCAGGGTGGGGGTGGCGGGAGGCCGCGTTCCGGGGGCTGCTGTGCACGCAGGCCCGTCTCTCGAGCCGAGGTTCGCCAGAGGCCGCCCCCCCGGCCCACCCCATCTACCGGCACCCGGCTGCGCCTGCTACTCTGAGGATGGAAGGTTCTGGCAGCTCCTGCCTGAGCCTCAGGCTGTGTGGGGGATGCGGGCCAGCACCCAGCACCCAGCACCCAGCCTCTACACGCAAGTGCTCGAGAGATGCATCCGGCACGAGAGGCCACAACTTGGGAGGCACCGGGCCCTCGGGGGTCCCGCTCCTGGCTCGGCGTTGGACGCCCCCAGCAGCCGCCATGGCGGCCCGAGCCCCTCCCCCACCCGCCCAGGCTCCATCCAGCCCTCCTCCTCCCAACACCAGGCAGCAAGGGGCTCCCAGGGGCCAGTGACCTCAGGGTGGCCAGCATCCCCCAAGCCTCGGCCACAGGGCAGGGGGCTGTGGAGGTCAGGGCCCTAGGCGCCCCAGAAAGAGCGGGTGCCCCTGAAAGAGCGGGTGCTCCGGGGAAGCCCCAGGTGCTCCAGGAGCCGCGGGCGCGTGGAGCGCTGTCCCTGCGCCGCCAGGCCGGGAGGACACGAGGGCCTGGCAGGAAGCCCGCCGCCGCAGCCCACGGCTCCCCAGGTGCCTCCCGCCGGTCCCCAGAGAGGGCGGCTGCACCCAGGGCAGCTCGCTGCCCGTCGGCCACGGACCGCAGCGCTGGACGAAGTCTCGGCAGGGTGTCCGGCCTCACACCGGGCAGCGGCCTCCCCGCCTCTGCCCCTCCCAAGACCGCGCCTCAGCCTTGCACGGGGAGGCCCTGACAGCGCCCGGCGCGCCCCGCGGCAGCCGCTGCGACGCCCGCCTCGGCCTCAGCCTCGCGGCCCGCGCCGCCCCCGGCCCGGGGCGCACCCATCCCGCTGCCGGGACTTCTTTCCTGTGCGCACGGCGGCCTCGCAGCCGCCTCCCCCATGTCCCCCGGCTTCCGTTCTCAACATCCCCTTCTCTTCCGAGAGCCGCCCGGCCCCCAACTCTTTCCCCGTTTGCCCTCTGGGAGGGGGGTCCTGACCCCTCCAAGCAGGGGTCACCGCTCTCCTCGCCTGCTCTGCTCACCCGGCCCCCCAAGTGCACCCCCAAGCGCAGGGGTGGCCCCAGAGGCAGCCGAGGCCGTGAGGTCAGAATCAGCTTGAGGGCAAAAGCCCGCAGCCCCACGGAGCTGGCTCGACGGCGCGCGGCCTCCCAACAGCGCCGGACGGGGCCCCCAGCCGGCGGCCGGTGTCCTGAAGGGGACCAGGGGGCTTCCGAGGGCGGAGCGTGGGGTCTGTGAGGGGCACTGCCCTCTGCTCCCCCAGGCCGAAGGGATGTTGGGGACAGGGCCCCCTTGTCACCTGCCCCGGGAGGCACCAGCATGTGCCCCGGCTTGGAAGTCCGTGATGAAATTGTCGCCAGGTACTGCTAACACAGAAAAGGATTTGAGGCTCAGTCCTGCGTCATTTAAGAAACGCACAGAGGAGCCCAGACGCTGGAAATAACCGGGGAGAAACCGACAGCCTTCCTTGCGTTTCTCAGCATCTTCCCAATTTCCTACAGCGGCCATTGTCATTTTTGTAATCAGAAGAGGCAATGAACCCCAACCAAGCGCGTAAGAGGCCGCGGCGCCCCCTCGCTCAGATGGCGCTGGCTGCCCGCCGCCCGCCACCCGCCGCGAGGTCAAACCCCGACTTCCTTCCGCGCGATGGTAACTCGGTTCCCCGCTCCCTACGCGTCCGAGCCGCTGCTGAGCGGGGAGCAGAGATCCCCGTTCAGGACCACGGCCAGCTCCCCGGCTCCGCTCCCAGGGCCAAGCCCTGCCGTCCGGGGAAAGGGCCCATCCCAGGAGACCACCCCGTCCCTCCTCCTCGAGGCCGGTCTCTTGGAGAACAAACTCCGCGACTCCTGGGGAGCCCGCCAGGCTCCCGGGCAGACCCGGCCCCCGAGGGCCCAGGGGAGCTCCTACCCGCAGGAAGCAGGCAGACCGC